ATTCAAAGTGACCTTGTCCTGATCTTGACGACTCACTCAGGGTCAAACCAATGTTATCATCTTATGTCCCCTTCGAAACCCTACAACTTTTGTCTGAAACATTTTTCTCTCACCTCGCGATTTCTAAATATTTGACTGTCAATTATAAAATGGGACACCCTATTATACATATATACCTACATATATATATAACTTCTGTTACACTTCGCGGATTTTGAAGAGATAGAAAATCTTGGAAAATTAAAGTTTATCATAAAATATTCAGCATAGAGAGAAATGTCTTCTTTATCTTAAATTTGAAAAAAGTTAATTTTTATTAAACACTGTAATTTTAGAAAATGGAATAAATCAATATTAGAAGAGGTTTATGATTCCTTACTTGAGGAACTACCATTGGCGGACAATGCACCAGGAGGAATGATCAAATATCGTCGATCTCTCACTCTCAGGTTTGATATACATATATTAGTTCATATTAATAAAAGATAAATTAATAAAGCATACAAATAACTCAAATCATATACTTTTTAGTTTATTTTTTAAAGGATTTGTGCATATCTCCAAAGAATTATCAAAAACTATTTCGGACACAGAATATATGCCAAAAGAGTTAGAAAGCGCTTCAAATTGTTTCCATTATAAAGCACCAAAAAGCTCACAATATTATCAAGTGGTAAAATTTTAATCTAAATGTTTATGAATCATTATTGTAATACAACAGAAATTATAATATTTTGTAATTTCTAATTTAATTTTGTAGATACCTAAAAATAAAAAATCACATGATCTAATAGGACGTCCTATTGTGCATGCTAGTGCGTTCAAACAAGCGACAGGCGAAGCAGTATATTGCGATGATATACCCAAATTTACAAAAGAATTATACTTAGCATTGATTTTCTCTACTAGAGCGCACGCCAAAATTTTGAAAATTGATCCATCTAAAGCGCTATCTATGGAAGGAGTCGTATCATTTTTCTCTTCAAAAGATATAGCAGAAGATAGAAAATGGGTAGGCCCTGTGTTTCACGATGAAGAGGTATTTGTATCAGAAAAGGTATGTTTTTAAATAAAAATCATGAATCATTTTTGTAGAAAATTACAATTTTTCCATATGTGGTATGTATGAAACAATAAAAATTTTGCAAAACTATTTATGGGCAAAAATAAAAAATATAGATAAAATATTTTTCGTAGTTCTACATTTGTACCAAATTTAAAAGAAATTCTAAAAATCTACCACTCGGGTAGGTTTACTTGTAAGAAAAGCAAGGAAATTATGCATGGGCATAATCGAAGGGGAGGCAAAAATTTATTTTCACACAAAACTTATTAAAATATGAGAGGGTTCCGTTTGCCTACAAATCGATTGCCAACAGTAGCGTTTGCCAACATCACTTTTGCCAACAGTTCGTTTGCGTACAAAAAGTATTGCCTACAGATCGATTGC